ACCATTTCAGTTTGAATTTTCTTCAGAAATTCTCTTTATCAAATTTTGTTTTTGCTGGGCGGTGGTGGCGCACGCCTTTAATCCCAGCACTTGGGAGGCCTTGGAAGGCAGAGGCAGGCGGATTTCTGAGTTCCAGAGTTCGAGGCTAGCCTGGTCTACAGAGTGAGTTCCAGGACAGCCAGGGCTACACAGAAAAACCCTGTCTCAAAAAACCAAAAAAAAAAAGTTGTTTGTTTTTTTTTTTTTTTTACCCTTTGGTGGGGAAGGGGGTCCATGTATAGACCAAAGAACAACTCTGTGGAATCTGTTCTTTCCTTAACACTTTCACCTGAATTCTGGAATCAGACTTGGATCACTGAGGTTTTGTAGCTAGTGATTTTATCTACTGAACACATTTTTTTCTTTCCTTGGTGTGTGCATGTGCCATCCATGGCCATGGCAGTTGAACGGCAACGTGTAGAAGCTGGTTCTCCACTCCCCTGTGGTTCTGGGGGTGGGATTGATCAGCCTGTAAAGCGCCTTTACTGAGATAGTTTACAGACTCTTTCTATAGGCTATACTTTCTGTAGTCCATTGGGATCTTTTGTCCTGGGTACATAGGCAGACTGTAGATAAGACAGGGTATAGGGCTTACTTAAAAGGTGGCTTGCTGAGGCAGGGGCATGAGAAAGATCTTTGGCCTCCCTATCCCACAGTTGCCTCAGTTTCCCCTTAATCCCAATTTGGACCGTTCCCTTGGGGAGGTGGGGGAGGGAAATCAAGCTGCTCCCACAGCCTTGGTAGCAAGTAGTCTCTGGGATCCTCTCCACTTGGGCACCTGGGTGGAGCCTCTTGTTTCATGCATCCCACACAGGTTGTGGGTCAAGGTTGGGCATTATTAGTCACTGTTCTGTGGCTATGATAAGACACCATGGCTACGGCAGTTGTTAAAAGGCATTTAATTGGTGGCTTGCTTACAGTTTGAGAGGGTTAGTCCATCAGGAAACAACAGGAACAATAGCTAAGTGAGAGCAAGCTTTACAACCAGATCCATTTGAAATCCAAAGCCCACCCCCAGTGATACACTTCTTTCAACAAAGCCACACCTACTCTAACAAGGCCCCTCCTCCTAAGCCTTTCAATCACTTCTTCAACTGAGAATCAGACATGCAAAGCTGAGCCTCTGAGGGGCATTCTCACTCAGACCACCACAGGCATCAAGTGGGGTATGGGGAAAGTGAGAACGTTGATAGTGTGCACTTTCTGAGACCACTGTTGGGCTGCTGTGGCTCAGATCTCTTGAGTTCCAACTTTAGGTGTCATGTGTGGTCAGAGGGCCTCCCTGAAATCCTGGAAACACTGCCAAGGGTACAGGTACCAGTGGCTGGGTGTATACACCAGTGAGTGGTTCTAGATGCGCTGGCTTTCAGTGGAGGACAGTGATCTGTCAGTGCTTAGCTCTCCCTTGGTTCTGTATAGGACCTGAGGAATTCAGAATAAATATGTCTGAGTCATGACTTAATAACACTGATAGCCCTGCTTTCAGGCTCCTTTGCCTATGTTCTCACCTTTCAGTCAGCCAGGTTCATGCTGGTGTGGGCATGTGTTTGTAGCCATATGTTGGTCACCCTTAGGAAGGTTTGAGCAAGCCGGGCAGTGGTGGCTCACACCTTTAATCCCAGCACTTGGGAGGCAGAGGCAGGTGGATTTCTGAGTTTGAGGACAGCCAGGGCTATACAGGGAAACCCTGTCTCTCAAAAAAAAACAAAAACAGGAAGATTTGAGCTGGAGTAACTACCCTTAAACTGTCAGGAGGCAGAGCCTATGCTTCAGGGTTTTGAGCTTGTTCCCACACAAGGATTGTTCTGGTTTGATGCAGATGTGGTTTACATCAGGGTGTAGAGTTGTGTAGGCCTAAAATTCCTTCCCAGGAGTGAAAGATCTATACTTCTTTTAAGGTTCTAATGACAAATCAAGTTGTGATGCCACCAAACTGTACTCTGGGAACCAATGAGTTTATTAGACTTTCTTAAAGAAGAAAGGTGAGGGGTTATTTATAGAGGTATTGGTGCTCCTCACCCCATCAGGTTATGCCTGGAAAGCTTTGACCTAGCAGGGATGATGGCTTCACAGGTAAAGCCCCTCTCCCTTAGTCTTTCCCATCCTAATACTTTAGCCCCTCCTGGAAGAGAGCATATGCAGTTAGGGCAGAATTGCACAACCAGTGATAGGAAGTAGCTGGATACTTAGGTGGGGTCTCTGACCTTGAGGGGATATAAACAGTCCAGTCCAGCTGGGAAAATTTGCAAGTGGGCATAGTTGAACACCCCAGTATGGTGGTTGCTTGGCTCAGAGGGTAATAGGTACAACATCCTGGATCTCAGATTCCAGACTCCATGTTGACTGAAGTGGGTTCCCTCACTTGGTGAGCAGGTTGCTCTGGGTGAGGTCTGGGTGGTTTGGCCACTGTTCTCACAGGCTTCTCTCCCCTAGTCACACCGATGATGGAGCTGAAGCCGAATGCTGGCAGTGACCGCGCCTGGGTCTGGAATACCCACGCCGACTTTGCTGACGAGTGCCCCAAGCCTGAGCTGCTCGCCATCCGCTTCCTAAATGCTGAGAGTAAGCAGAACTTGCCCAACTGGGTCGCCTGCTGGGCAGCTGATGTTAGCCCAGAGCATGCAGAGCCTCTGAAATTCTAGGGGTTCTGTATAAACAGTTGTTGCATCCAGTTGACTCCCATCAGGTGTGTGGAACCAGAGACACACCCTAGAGTTTCCTCCTGCTGCTGCTTCTGCTTGGTTTCTGGTTCCTCAAGACTGGGACACTGGTGTCCCCTACGGACGCTTAGGCACCTGTACCAGCAAAGACTGCAGAGATCTGCAAGCCCTGGCTGATCTCTCTTCCATGGGGGAATCTTTCTAGTCTGAATTGCTACAAAGCTGTGCCCTGGGGATCATGGAGAGTCAGCAGGTACCATGGCAAATGCCCTAGTGGCTGGTGCTCTTGTGAAAGTGAGCCTTGCCCTTGGTTGGGAGTATGTGTATCTGGTAGTCCTTCCAACGTGAGTAGATCCTATAGTAAGAAGAGCTTTGGCCCTTGGTTGTCTGATTGTGATAGACAGCTAGCTGAGCAGAGTCAGTGGCCTCAGGAGGGACTCACTACAGGTATTAAATAGTCAGAAATTGCCATTGGGGCTGGGCGTGGTAACGCATGCCTTTAATCCCAGCATTTAGGCAGAGGTAGGTGGATCTCTTGAGTTCCAGGACAGCCAGGGATATGGAGCAGGATTCCGTCTAGAAAAACGCCATTGAGGACCATGAGTTGGCTCTTCAGAATTTTAGGGTCTTGCCAGTCTACTTTGAGAACTTTCAGACATAGTCCCTTTTCTTTTTACAGATGCACAAAAGTTCAAAACAAAGTTTGAAGAATGCAGGAAAGAAATTGAAGAGAGAGAAAAGAAAGGTGATGTGGTGCCCTGGGGCTGATGAAGGGTTGTGGAGCTGTTTTGCAGATTCACTCTGCACCTGGCTGCAGCTCCAGTCTGGTGCTTTTTCCATCTGCCAAAGAAACAATCCGGGGAGCTGTGGCTGCCTCTACCTACCTATCAAAGGCAATGCAGCTACCTGGGGACACGGTCTGATGCCTTGCGTCAGCTTATGGTCAGTTTCAAGTACAGAGCTGAGTCACAGCTCTTTGGAACCCACCAGGAGTGAAAGGGCTTTTAAGATATATTCCTTGTTTTCTCAACAAATTCTGTTTTCTGTTCCTCTGGGGCAGATGGGGCCTGGGTTAGTAAGTGACCACACATTACCAGCAGCTTGCTGGGCCCTCTTGGGCCCATCTGGGAAGAGTGGTGGGTGATGCTTGGGAAACAGGTCAAGCCTGAACTAGGTGAGTGCCAAGATCAGTACAGTCTCACAGCCAGACTTGTCTGTTGTCTTACTGCGTTTGCCTGTTTTTGCAGGACCAGGCAAAAATGATAATGCCGAGAAGGTGGCTGAGAAGCTGGAAGCCCTTTCTGTGAAGGAGGCCAGAGACGAGGCTGAAGAGAAGTCTGAAGAGAAGCAATGAGTCATTCTTTTCCCTTCCTTTTCTTTTTAAAAATTTGCCCTACCCTGTAAGGTTTGTTTTTATTCTGTTTTGTTTTTACAAGGGACTTTATAAAGAACTGAATTCCAACATTCAGGTTGTTTTTTTTTTTTTTTTAACTTTTTTTCCTCCAAGTTTTGACACCATTGAACATGACTTCAGAAATCCATTCCCCAGTCATGAAAATGTACTGTGCTAACTTTCTTTTCCATAGTGGAAACACTTATTTATAGTCATCAAAAATAGTGAATAAAAAATGCCTTTGAAAACCTGGACCAGCTGACAAGGCTATGTGAGGGGTGGGGAAGGTGTCTGTGCCTGGAGCCCCCCATGGCCACCTGTGTACCAGCCTGGTTTTCTCCTAGGAGAATCATTTTGTCAAAGTAGTGTGTCCCTGCTGTGGTTCTTAGAGACCATTGGACACTAGGGCATCGGCTGGTGCTGGAGGCCACTGGTGTGTGAGACTGCAATTGGCATTCAGGGCCAAGGTGGGCTGCTTCGTTGCTACTGGAATTATTGCTTTGTGCTGTTGTATAGGGTGTGTGTTTGTGTATGTGTGCGTGCGTGTGTGTTTGACGGATGTGTGAAGGAAGACTATTAAGTGCTTTCACCTTGGTGAAGAGAAGTGGTAGGTAGCTAAACATCTGCCTATAGGAAAAACTGGTTTTGGTTGGCTCTGGTTAACAGCAGCTCTCAGCTCAGTGGAGGAAAAGGCCACCATGGAGGGGCATATTCATTCTTGTACTGTTCCATAGTGTAGCTGTGTCTAGCCCTGCAACTCTCCTGTTGGAAGCCATTAGATGCCACAACACATCTCCAAATAGCGAGTTTGGACCTTGAATTCTAACCTCAGCACTGTTAGGTTTAGGGACTACTTAAATAAAACCTGCCTTATGTGGGGTTAGAGAAATGGCTTATCAGTTATGAACACTTGCTCTTGTAGAGGATTTGAGTTCAGCTTGAAGCTCACAATTAACTGACTCTCCAGAGAATTAGACATACTCTTTTCTTGCTAGACAAATCAAATGATACGCACATATACGCAGGCAAAAGGAAGACCTGATCTGACATATTGTGGGCCTCAGGAGCTTCAGGAGCCCCACCTTTCACAGGGTAGGAGCCTTGGCGAGGTCTGATTGCATTAACAGTATCTGGTCTCTTACTCTGTAGCAGACTGCCAATAATACCTGCCAGGGGTGGTTTAGAGTCTAGATATTTATTTGTTGATGTTTGTCTCACTAAACTGACCATTATGTCCGACCTTGTCCTTTGCAGGGTGTGCTTACAAATGCCTGCCTGCCTTCCTGTCTTTCTCCTCTCCCTCCCCTTTCCTCCCTGTCTCTTTCTCCCTCCCTCCCTTATTTTGTTTTGTTGAGACTTGGTTCCTCTGTGTAGCCCTGGCTGTACTTGAACTTTCTCTGTAGATCAAGCAGGCCTCGAACTCAAAAGATCTGCCTGCTGGGATTAGAAGTGTGTGCCGCTGAAGCCCAGCTTCAAACCTTGAACATTTTTAAGCTAGTAATCAAAGTATTCATTGTGACATTTCCATGTAGACAGACATACTGTACTTTACTATATTCATACCTCCCCTCCTTGCCCACACCTGCAAAAATACCTTTTCATTCCCCAAGCTGGTCTTTAAAAGCCAACTAAAGGCTGTCTTTTGGTTTTTCTCCATCCCAAGCAGAGATATGTATATGCGGTGGGGCCTGGTGTAGTAGAACTGAGACATTGGCCACAGGTGGCCTTCAGTGTACTTCATGGAAGGACTGTCCATGGGCTTGATTTTCCTCAAGGGAAGCCCTAGACTGAGGATTCAGGCTCACTTTTCAGCGTAGTGCACAGTAACCTTACCTTGAATAGTAAATGAACCTTTTGAGTGGGGTAAATGCCCTTATGGAGATGTTTTCTATTTAAAAAAAAGGACTTCCTGAGTGGAAAGTTTCTTCCTATGACTGGTGTTTGGCATGTCTCCCATGTCTGGCAGGAGAGGAGGGCGGCTACGATGGCTCCCATTCCTGGCATAAATTCTGTCAGACCCAGGAGGGCTCCTATTCTGCAAACAGAAGGGCCCTCCAAACTGGCTAGGGGACACTGCTGTCTTGTGCTCAGGTTGTATTCTGATGTACATTCAAGAAAGTGGCCTGTTGACACTGTAGACAGTGTAGCTAAAAGGAAGACTTATTGCTTCAAGTCTTGAGTGCCCTGTTGACAAAAGATTGGAGAATGTCAACAGGTTACTGAAGCTACCTAGCCTGGCAGAGGCTGTGCCAAGTGGGATGGAGTCTTAACAGGTTTTAGGGCTATAATACAGAGATATAACACCCTCTTATCCATGGGGGGCATTCCAAGACCCCCCCAGTAGATGCTGTAAACTTAAGGGGGTGCCAAGCCTTGTTCGTTACAGTGCATACACACCTGTGCTAAGTTTAGAAGTTAGGTAGACATAGTGGAAGATTCACAGTAACGAAGGCAGATACACTGCAATAGAATCGGGGATATAGTCTAAATATCTTACTGTAGGCCTTAGCAACCTCTTAAGTTTGCTTCATAGGGTCTCTGGCATCACTACTGTTGCACTTCGCGGATATTGAGATGCAAGAAAGCTACAAAGTATCAAGTGAGTAAGCTGAGGGATTTATATCCAAGGCTGGTAAGAGCAGAATAGTATAGTTATCAGATTGGTTAGTGTGAGATGGTCTTATGTAGCCCAGGCTGACCCTGAACTGGCTGTGCAGCTGAGGATAACTTTGAATTTAAGATCCTTCTAAATGCTGGGTTTTGGGCATATACATGTCCTGTGGTGCCGGGCTTTAAATAGGCCAGCATTCTACCAAGATACATCCTGACCATTTTTAGCTTGGCTAGCCTAGAATTCACTATGTAGACCAGGCTGGCCTCAAACTTAAGATCCACTTACCTCTGCCTCCCCAGTGCTGGGACTAAAGACATGGACCACCACATGCAGCTTTTTAGTTTTTGAGATGAGTTTCACTGTGTAGCCAAGGCTAGCCAGACTTAAGCAGTCTACCTGCCTCGCTCTACCAAGAGCTGGCATTACATGAGTCATATGGCATTACATAGTCACCTGGCTAATGGAACACAAATCTGAATTATTTATGGAATTTCCCATTTAATAATTTTGGACTGTGGATAGCTCAAAGTATGGGAAGTCAGAGTGCCATCGTGGTGAGTGCTGTTTTCTATCTCCATCTTAGTCCCTCCGCTGGGCTGGCTGCTATGGTAAAGGAAGTCTGCCTGGGATGTGGTGCCCAAGCTCCTTGCTGCCTTGCCAGCCCTATTCAGGAAGAAAGGGACCATATCACACTGGGCTCTGGCCTCAGCAGCTAGATCTGCCCCACCTAAGACTTCCCTGGAGTCTTTTCCATAACCATTGTTTGCTGTTTTACTACAAGGCTGTGGCAGTAGTGTGGCTGTCTTGGTACCCTACATACAACATGGAACTCTGCAGTGGGGGAGCTGTGAGTGGTGGAGCCTCCTGAGGCTCATAGAGCTTTCTATGTTATGGGCTGTAGGACAAGTCCAGGCTACAAGTTGGGGGGATTTAACTGAATTGTGTGCCTAGTGCAGAGGGCCAGCTGGATACTACCTGAGAGCGGAAAGGAGTTTGTATGCACTCTGCTCTCCACTGTGAGGTCACATCACTGCTTATCTTACCAACTCTGGAAGAACTCTTGGTAACCCTGAGCTGCGGCTTCTGGCATGGAATGACCGACAGAACAGAAATCTGAGAGAAAATCCATCACTGTTGATGCTGTTGAAAAGTTGTTTCTACATTAAGGCACTCACCCCTGAGCTGTGGGCCATCTAAGGAGCCCCAGGCCTACAAGCAGTGTTGTAGGGAGGAGGAGGTGTAGGGGGACTTCAGGTTTTGGCTGTACAGGAGATAGCTGCAGACAAGGGAAGAAGCCCCCAGTATCTCTAGGAAGGGGTGGAAGCTCGGGACTGGGTGTGACCCTGTGGAATCGCCAGCTAGCATACTGCCCAGGCCCTGAATAGGCTTCAGAGTAGATGTTGCGGCCTTGTGGAGTGGCCAAGGCAAGCAGTGGAGTTTGACCACGTTCTTACTCAAAACACTAAGGCTGATCTGCCAGGGGAAGCCAATGCAGATGCCTATCCTGCAGCATCCTTCGAGGGCCGGTCCACCTTAAGCATCTGCGTCCTGGCTCGGGCAGGTGGGCTTCCCCCCCCCCCCAGCGGGTGGTGAGCATGCGCAGCCTTTCTAGTCAAAGCCAGAGCTGGGTACAGGCACTTTCCCTAGGACACCAGCTTCCAAAGGTGTTTCTCCAAAGGTGTCTCTTAACATGCCTCAATCAAACCTGCGGCCTGAGCCAGGACGCAGAGGAACTCGGCGACTTAACTCTTAGTGTGTGGAGGGCTGCGAGTAGGGTAAGGTTTGGACAATATGCCCCTACTTTATCATAGCTATCTCCCTCACACCTCAGTGACTGGAAGGGGACCTTCAGCCTGTCCCGGGACTGTGTTTGGGGACCATGTAGGCCCAAGAGAGCTCTCGGGTTAGGACAT